TTTTGCTAATTTGTAAGTAACAACACTTTGATCTGTGAGCCTGGAAGAAAACAAAAAAGGAAACCATTGGAGACACAGTACAGCCCTTTAAAAAGCCACATGAAAAAGTTCTTTGTTGCTTTAGCATTTAGGCAGATGTCCACTTCCTCGCTTTATAAAGTTCACATACTGAGCATTTTTGCACTTGAAAAAGTATTAGTGCGTGATATGTTTATTGCAAGATATTGGTTCATTTAAATTAATGGAAGGAAGAAAAGTAACCAACTCATTAGCCAATCATTGGCCAGGTCAATGGTATCTTCCAAAGTTCGTTATTGAATGAAGATTTTTTTCCGTTTTAAGAAAAGATGAAATGTCTCCAAGCTTTTCCATGCAGAAAATACTTACATGTCAGCCTCCATATGATTAAAAATGCCATTCCGTTGCGCTTGAGGCTTTGCCAGTGTACAGCTTTCTGGCCGAGAGCACGCTCTCATGAGGCCGTCACAGCCTTGCTCGTCCAGCCGGTGACCTTGCTGGGTGTCAGGTGTCTCAGCCTCGCCAGCAGGCTGTGCAGTGTCAGCCAAAGCAAGAGTCGCCTGGCTCTCTTTATACTTCTGCCCTCTTTTCTGATCTTCTCTCTGTGTTCAGAAGAGAGAGGTAAAAAGGAGTGTGTTGAGCACCAGTTAGTATGCAAGGGATTAAACTGCCGTTGTGCACATGGTTGAATCTTCCTCACAAGCCTGCGTGCGACCTGGGTCCTGTCATCTCCATTTCAGAGAGGAGGTGACAGGCCCGGACCACTGGAACCCCTTCTGAGCCCCCACCACATCTTGAAGCAATTCGAAAGAAGGAAGTCAGGACTCGCACTCGGTTCTGATGTCAAAGCTCCCCGAGTCATGTCATTGCAGTACCGCTCCTCTTACTCTGCCCGAGACGGAGTTCCCTGGGAAGCCACCGTGCCTGTACCAAACACTCAGGTCCATGCAATGTCCCGGCTCGTGCATAATGGGTCTGAATACAGCCCGTGCCTATTTCCTTCCAGCTTCAATGGAAAATGGTCCACTCCATCATGGCACACTGTGGAAGAACCACATTCCCCAGAAAAAGAGGCACAAAAAGAATTCTCGGGAAGCGTGAAAACCTGAGATAAGATCTACCCCAAATCCAAGTTTAAGTCATTGACTCTTCTTTTTTTTTCTGGTAAAGCCAGGAGAGGAGAGAAGTCTGGTTGTATAAGAAGTAGCCAGTGTCGGCGTGTGTCTGTCTCTGCGTTATGACCGTTGCAGGCAGCCCACTGAATGGGCAGGAGCTCTCTTGTGCGTACGGGGGCAGGGGGTTGGGGGAGAGGCACTTCCTCTCCCATGTCCCACTTTGAGTCCCTGACCGAAGTGCCTAAGTGGATGAATCACTGTCTCCGGAGGCTGCTTCCTCCAACTCCATCCTGTGCAGTTAACTTTCGGAAGGGCGTTAGCACCTTTTGCTGCAGGCCAAGGAGAATTCTCTCTTATCTGACCCCCTGGGGAGCACACTTCCAAATATGTCACTTACTAAGAATGAGGAGAAATATCAACTGCCATCCACTGGGGGAGGTGTGTGCTAAGAATTCTGCCGGATGATTTATAAACTTTGTTAGTAATTCCTCAATTTAAGAGGCGGCAGCATTTCCCCCTTTATACAGATGGGGAAACCGAGGTCATGCGTTTTGTAAGTAGAAGAATGAGGATTCGAGCCCAGGTCATCTGACAAGACTGTCCTCCTCCTCCCGGTGAGCACACCACACTCCTCACCTCCACATCGATTCACGTGAAGAATCTCCCTCTGGGCCCCCGAGGGGCTCTGAACAGCAAATCTGAGCTGAGAGCTTATTTGTATTTCACCAGTGCACTTTCTTCTACATGGCTGTGAAGTCTAAAGCTTTCTACTTGTGATGGAAGGGTTTGTGTTTCTATGAGAGAAGCAGTGAAGGAATCTAGAACAGGAATTCTGATTGTCATTTTGAGGCCATTTTCATTGCAAATGAATTCTAGTATTTCTAGCCGTATTTTTTCATCCATGTTTTGTAAATGTATAGCCTTCTATAGCAGTTGATATGTCTGTACACGTTTACTAGTGTAGCGCTATACGTTATTTCGGTAATTATATAGTCTTACATTTAAAAACATATTGTACAGTGATTTAAATTTCACAGCTTGCTTTCCCATTCAGTTATCATGACCTGGCAAGGCTGAGGGGCTGGGCACTGTTACACTATTTAACACATGTGCAGACAGAGGCTCGGCCACGTGGCTGATAAGTGAAAGAACAGGCATAAGAAATGAACAGACGATTCACAAAAAAAGATAAAAATGGCCCTTACACATATTTTTATTTTTACTATTTTTAAAGATTTTATTTGTTTACTATTGGAGGGAGGGGAAGGGAGGGAGAAAGAGAGGGAGAGAAACATCAATCAGTTGCCTCTCACACACCCCCGACTTGGGGACCTGGCCCACAACCCAGGCATGTACCCCTATTGGGAATCGAACCAGCGACCCTTTGGTTCTCAGGCCAGAACTCAATCCAATGAGCCATACCAGCCAGGGCCCTTAGACATATTTTTAAATGTTCACAGTCATAATTAGAGAAATGCAAATTAAAACAATGCTGGCCTATTATTTCTCAGCTATCAGAATAGCAATAATTTTTAATAGGACAACATGATTGAAAAGTGAATGAGACTGTGGGAAAGCTGATGCGTCACTGGAAGGAATACAAATTGATATAATCCTTCTAGAGAGAAATTCCAAACAATCTACACGTGTACGTACCTTTGGACCCAGCAAGTTCACTTCTAGGAATCTTTGCTAAAGGTATACCTCCAGTACTGTAGATGGGTCTGTGTACAGGGGTTACTATACACACACATGTTTTGTAGGTCTACCCTCTAAAACATTCTAGAAGCAGTGGCACCCCCACAGTAATGAGCACACGTAGCCCTCAGACCTTGGTTTCTAAACACCATACCCCAATACAAGGAATTGAGGCTCCTTGGAGAAGTAGCTGATTTCAGGGCTAGAGCAGGGAAAATCACCCTTAGATAAACACCATGTAATAATTTTTGCAAATGAGATCCATTGAGGGATGCTAAAATTAACAGACAAAACTTGGAGGAAGACTAAGGTATTTGTGTAGTCTTGGGGTTGTAGTAACCTAAAGGGTTGACCTGGGAGCTTGACCAAGCAACTTGGAGGAGCTGCGTCCAGCGTGGCTCGCCCACACGGCTGCGGGCTGGAGCCTGGTTTCCTCTCCAGAAGCTGCTGGAGGGCCCTCAGGACAGGGAAGTCATCTCCCCCGGAGTCAGTGATCTTCCCCGAAATCACATACCATGTCTGCCTGTTCCGGCCAGTAGCCCAGTAATTTCTTTTCTCCCTGTGAGTTGTCCCCTCCCCTTTCATTGCCACCCCCCCCCCCACACCCCACTCCCACTGTCCCCAGTGCTCCCAGTTTTGGTTTCTCTCTTCGTAACTTGCTCCAGGCTGGTCCTGGGCAGGATTATCTGACAGAACTAGCTGTGGGAAGGAGGCCCTGTTAACCCTTCCCTCCCCTCCCCTCTGTGGAACCCTTCCCACCCTCAATCAGATATTAACGCCCCTCCCACTTTCTGCAACAAATTGTCCAGAACCCATCTGGGAACCCATAAGACTTTATAAAGCCTCTAATAGCAATGGTCATATTGTATTACAGTTATCACTTTTCATGTCTGCCTTATATCACATGCATATCTATATCCCCAAGGTCTATCAGAGTGCCTAAAAGGTCCTTAATGGGTAAATGGTTTTTCTTTTGAAATGCAAATACACTTAAGGACCTCCTAATTTAGCCATCTGTGGCTTTGTCTTTCCTAAACTGAAGAAGGACAAGAGGGAAGAGATCTTCTCCAGCCTATTGCCTATTTCCTGTTCTCACAGACAGAACTCTAGGAAACTTTTCACAGACTGTGTTCTCACTTCAGGGAGCAGAGGGTTGGCAAGGCTGCTGAGGACTCTGGTCTTTGACAATGAAGACAAGTAGCCCCACCCAGTGAACGTCAGGAGTGGGAAGGAAAGCTGGGTAAACATTCTGGGGCTCACGGTAGACAGGAAGGGGTGACCTTGACCCCCGATCTCTGCTGCCTTTGTTGGCCAGAGATTGCTCTCAGTCCTTCAGGCCTGCCTCCTTACTGAGTCCTCCTCTGGTCTTTGCTCTCCCGTGGCCCAGCTCCCTTGGGAAGACATCTGGGTGCTCCTTCTCCCTGGCACGCCTCTCCCTGCTGCAGACCCTTCTTTCTGGGTCCTGTTTCTCACTCTCCCCGTTGCTGGTACACACGCATTCCAGTCCCCACTCGCGGGCCTGCGGGCCTTGCCCCCACCTTCACACGTCAGTAGAAGGCTGGGATTTGGGGTTCCCTTTGCTTCCTTCTCCCGCTGACGCCACGGGCAGTTATCCACTCCTACATCTGCCTGGCTTCCTGAGAACCCAGCCCAGGCAGGGCCTGGTCTCGGGCCCTCCCTGACCCCTCCCCCCACCTTTCTGCCCAGGGGAGGGGAGACCCAGTGATCTCAATGCAGGGGCCGAGCTCATCGGCCTGTTCAGGCTGATCTGCTGACTTAGTGTGTCTAACGTTTTTTCCTATGGGAAAAAACGAGTCCCACTGAATGACCTATAACAAGCTTACATTCTTAAATTAAAAGTGTTTATAAAAAGAGTGCTAGAATTTTTATGTGGGAAGGACGTTTCATGATATTCTATTTCCAGTCATTTCATGTTGCAGTTTGTGAAACCGTGGTCCAGGTGGGTTATGTAACCGTTATGCAGCCATGTTTTCTGAGGCCGAATCGAACATTCTAGCTGATACAGTTTCACACCAAGGGTGTAAGTCCACAAGTTTTCTACCAGAATCGAGGTTTTCAACTTATGCTAATAGCATGTATTAAATTTTACATTTCGTGCTCTGTCGATGTGTAATTATCGGAATCACAGCCCTTTCCTTTCCGACCCAGATCTAGGCCGGTCTCGAGAACTGCAGTACGTGTACGTGGACAACAACGTCCACCTGAAAGGCTTGCCGTCCTACCTGTACAACAAAGTCATCGGCTGCAGCGGGTAAGGCGGACTCCATGTTTCACCCTGTAGCTCAACTCTTTGGCTGCCTTCGTTTCTATTTCATGATTTGCTCTGGATCTAACTTAGGAGGAGATGGACTATTTTGATAATCCCATTCAATTTTGTCTTTGGCCTTGATGGGCTAACCCACATACCTTTAGAAGGTAAGAACATTGGGCGAGCAATTTAGGGTGTTGTAATTCAAGTTCACTTAATCAGTTAGCTGGGAGTTGTCGGTACATTGCTGATTAATTTTCAGTCAAGAGATAAAGGTGAATCTATGCATCGTATTAGAAACTGGGTATCAGTCGCCAGAACGGGCAGTATCCGTGTTAATTTCGAGGCTTTTCCTTCTCCATACCCCACTGCACTGACAGTGTCACTCCAGCAACACCCTGCCGTCTAGAACTGCACCACTTGGATATATTTGGAACTCAGCCTTTGAAACAGCCCCTCAATACAAATCCTGACTCGCACATCCGAAGCAGGTCTTTCAGTTAAAGGGAAATGGCAGGCGCTTCAGAGCCGCTCTAACCTTCCCTGCTCAGCAGGCCCTTAAAGAGGCGGCCTCGGCTCCTCCTACAAGAGTGAGACACAGCCACCTTAGAGGGGTGCCCAGAGAGGTCTGGGATTACTGTGGGGCAAGCAGGCCTCCAGAACCTGCTTTGGACTGGCCTCCCTTTTCTCACTTAAGCGGCCAAAGGATCCTTGGAATACCTTCGAGGCTACTTAGCCAGTGCGTCTGACTCTCCTTGTTATCCCCGGTGCCCTGCACCACCCGGCTCTCACTGTGTGTGGTTCTGGCAAGAAGAGGGATGGCAATCAGCCTGTACGCAGAGGACAGCCAGCCGTTCCCGCTGGTGTGGCTCCAGGGGACAGGCACCAAGCAGCCACTGCTCCAGAGAGGGTCGTCCCAGGAGTAGTGACCCTCCCTTAGGAAAAATTACATCGTCTTTATCTCAGAAGAGCCCTAGATGAGTTCAGTGCCTATATAGGCTGATGAAAGACAAGCTCAGCAATGTATTCGAGCCTTCTGTGAATCAGAGATATCAGAATGGGTGGTGGAGTCTTTTAGCCCACTGGTTTTTTTTCTACAGCTGATGAGACAGCTGTGATAATATAGCCTCACTCTTCCAAGTGGTGAGTAAAATGCCCTCAGTCTCCTAGATGCATGGAACGAGGTGAGCCAGCTCCGAGGGCCAGGCGGTGTTCTCTGCACCAAGCGAAGTCCTCCAACGCTGCACTGGAATGTGTGCAGTCTCTACCACGGCTGAGAGAGGAGCCTTCTATTCTGGTGTTTAGATGTGGATGTTACCGACTGTTCTTGGCAGAGAGGTGTTTTTTTAATCCTTGACTTGGTATCTGGTAGCAGAGAAAGTGGATTTTCTGAGAGCTGCAGATCTTTGAGGAAATAAATCGTGGGGCAACACATGCAAATTTTTAGCTAGCAGTCTACCTTTTATTATTGTTATTATTATCAACATCTCCCCTTGATCTTAGAAATAGGAAAATAAAATTTTTATTAAAAGGAGAGTATCGAACAGTGATTTTCTAATATTGGCAGTTTGGAGTGTAGGCATCTTTGAAAATGAACTGTGAGCCCAAAGCATCTGTAGTCCGTTAGCTTCCTTCTCACAGATGCAACTCTGGTGCTTCTGGTCCAGAATTGCTCATCGAAAGGTCACATGACCCATTTTGCAGCCACTTATATGACGCTTTATGGCAAAACATTCAGAATTCCAGTAGATGCTGACCATTGACACCTTGACAACGGAACTAAGGGCCCCCCTTTTTTAATCTCTTGTGTCTGTTGACTCTGTGCAAAAGGGTGCCCCCATTCCAAGCCAAAGTGGGGGCTGCTTTGGGAAAAAGAGGGTAAGGGGTAGATCAGGCTTCTGAGAGCAAAAGGGTATTTGCGGCCTAGAAAATGCTCATCTTGACTCTGAACGAGGACTTTGGTCCACTGGTTCATTCAGTGAGTGTTCCTTGAGTAACTCTAATGCATTCGGTGACTGTTGAGTATCTTCTCTGTATGGTCACCGTGGCCATATGGTGATGAGAAAAACAATTCAGTACCTGCCCTTGTGGACCTTACAGTCTAGCCGAGCATCCACATGAGCCATAAATAATTGAGCAGGCTTGGCGCTCATTCCCGGGAGGGAGATGTTATTGCAGCCGAGAACTTAAGGCCCGTCGGGCACGCTGCGCTCCCCACTGATCACGCACGGTGCGTCGAGCCCGGGGGCGGGCCTGGGACACGAGGACACGTAGTTTCTGATATGCTGCGCTGCCTCTGAAGCGGTTTCCATTGCTCCTTTCGGATCAAGAGTCCGAGAGGGTAGAGCAGCAGCAGAACCAAAGGAGCCCAGGTGTAGGAACCTGTGTCCCGATGGAAAAGAGGCTGATACAGGTACCAGGGTATTTCACGTTGCAGATGGAAACTCAAGAACCGGGTGTGAAACACACAAACAGGCCTTGAAACGGCAATGAGGAAATATTGCACAGTTTCAGGAAATCTCAGAAATCCCACACAATCAGATGTGATATCCATGAAAATGTGAATAACGTTACCACCTCCTTATTGTATGTTCATTGATTTGTCAAATAATTACCCTTACCTGGCAACTTAGTACTGTCCCAGGAATTGTGGGGAAGACAGAGAAAACTCAGATGTTTTTCCCGATATACAGAAGCAACTATAATATTTTAACAAGTGCCCTAAGGGAAGGAGAGGGCTGGAAATCTAGAGCATGGGACTGTCTTTTAAGACTGCGCTTTGAAGTCACACACTGTCATTTCTGTCACATCCTGTTGATGACCCAGGCCAACCCTACTGTTCGCCGAGGGAGGAGGCCGCCCAAGGGAGTGAACCCTGGGGGGAGGGCCGTGGGAGCCTCTTGGAGTCACCTCTGACCGCCTTCTTGCATGGTGCTACCCTCATAGAGGAGTATAACTTGAACTTTGTCTGCAGATTTTAAATTTTCACTACAGGAGGAGATAAATGTCTGCCATTCTACATTTTACCCAGAAGGAGCAGTCCCTCCCGTGTTAGAATTGCAAACAGTGGCAATTTGGCACATTAGCTCTTTCGGGAAAACATGAATTCACGCTACCATTGACAAACGTGACCCTGCACCAGCTATTTTTCCAGCTGTCTGATTACATGAGAAGGCACAGAGCCGCTGGTTTGCCTTTTCTTATGTAAATGAGCAATTATAGCTGGGTTTGGGAGCATACTGGTTAAATTATTTGAATGAATGGTTCGTTAACATAACCACCCAAGATATCAGAGGTGTTTATACAGAAATCCATTCCGAGTTCTGAGTTAAACCAGTAGAGTAAAAAATTACACTCTAGGTCACGGTTCACTTTCGTGTGGGGATTACCACACGTGCCAGACAAAGTGTTGGGAGTCTGAACTTCCCCCGCAGGGCCGCCTCGCTACAGATACAAAACCCAAAGCCTGATTTTGCTCAGAGGACAGAATTTGCAGTTTGATTCCAGTGAAGTCATAAATTACTTACTAGCACAAAAACACTAACATTCTGTTTAAGTTTTAGAGGAATATAACAGAATCCAGAGTCTCTACAGTATAACTTCTACAGTGTTCAGGCCACAACCCAAAATTATATAATCTGAAGAATAAGGAGAATTCTCAAGGAACTGAGGGCCTGTTCTCATGGGCAAGGACAATCAGCAGAGACCAAACTGAGAGGACCCAAGATGTTAGAATTGCCAGATAAGGAATTTAAAGCAATTGTTCTCAGTGAAGTAAAGAAAAGTAAGTTTGCGGCAAGTGAAAACACCAATATATATATATATATATATAAAGGAAACAAGTGGAAGTTCTAGAGTGGAAAAATATAACAAATAAAAATTTTACTTTGTGGGCGTAACAATAGAATGGGTATAACAGAGGAAAAGTTGGTGAACTTATAGGTAGATCACTAAAAATGTTTCAGTCCGAAGTAACAGAGGTAAATGATTGAAAACGAGAACACAGCATCGAGGACCTGCCCAATAATATTAAAAAGTCCAATGTGTGTAGGATTGACATCCCAGAAGGAGAATAGAGAGAGAAGGGGGCAGTAATAGCAACACAAATGTTTAAAGAAATAATGTCTGAAAATTTCCCAAATGGGATGAAAGACATAAATTTACATTTTCTGTAGACTCAGAGAACCCTGAGCAGTATAAATTTACAAAGAAAACCATGCCCAGGCAAAGCAGCTGAAGACCAAAGATAAAAAGAAAAATTTTAAAGCTGCCAAAGAAAAATGACAAATTGTGTACAAAGGAATAATTCAAAAGACTGTTACCATTTTATCAGAAAATTTGAAGACCAGACAACAGTAAAACAACATTTTTAAAGTGCTAACAACAACAAAACCCGGCCAACCTAGCAACCAGCAAAAATACCTTTCAAGAGTGAAAGTCAGTGAAGTGGGTTCTCAAATGAAACAAAACTCAGCGTTAAAGGAACCTCGCCAAGACGACAGTCTGCCTCTCCCCGGTCCCAGGCTCTGTCTGAGCGGCAAGTTCCCTTCTCCTCCACACTCACTTCTCCCCTGTCCTTTTCCCTGTTATTTCAAGCTGGGAGAAAAAAAAAAAACAAAAAACTTTTGCTAAAAAAGAGGGTAAATCTGGTAGCAGTTGCCATACTAATGAGCGTGTGGATGGCATGCCGTACCTTCGGAGGGTAAAAGAGAGCACCCTGGGGGCCTGGGGTAAGGGAGTTCGAACGAGTTCTTTCCCTTGAACTCTGTTAGGTGCCATGGCAAATGTGAAAATACCTGTGAAGTTGCTCAATCGCACACATGTTATGGAGTCTGGGCTCAGTGGCTGAGGATGTCACGTTCCGTTTAGCTTGTTTAAGGGGAAGTGTTGAAGGGCAGCTCTGAAAACCATCCAGTTGAAAGGAAATTGCGTAGCAATTGTTATAGGTTGCCTTGTAGCTAAGCCAAAGATACTAAGATTTGTAACAGATTTTTAACTTGTTTTCATAACACACGTAAGGGTTCACATGTACAATCTTTTTGTAATCATCTTGGCACTTAATCTGAAATAACAAAAAAACGATTGAGTTAGAAATCAAAGATACCGAGGCTTCATCACTGCCAACTAATCATTATTTCTTTGCGTTGTGAACAGAAGCACGTCCCGGGGCTGCCCTCCCTCCGCCTTGCTGACAGTTCATTTCATGATCGTTTCTTACCGAGATGAGTGACACTCGCTGTCAAGGCGAGTCTTTCCAGCTTCCCTCGCATTTGGCTTTGTCTTCCGTGCATCTGGCACTCCAGCCAGGGGCAGCGGTTCGTTCAACGCCTGCGCCCTGTGCATTCACAGAGCTGAGCCCCTGCGCCCTGCACTGGGTTCTCATCGTGCAGATCTTAGGTGGTAACAATAGGGACCCTCAGAGCAAGAGCTGGACTAGTGTTGGACCAAGTGAATAATCTGAGTACAAAAGTTTCACCATCTCACCAGCACAGTGTGTCAGCAAAAGAATCATTTATCACAATAATAGACAGAAAGCACAGCTATAAACATTACTTAACCTCTCCTGTGTGCCAGGCAACGCGCTCACTGATTGGCTGAGCTGAATATTACACGTCATCCGCCCAGCCACCCTCGAGATATTATTTCATCTTAGAAATGAAGAGACTGAAGCTCTGAGAGGTTAGGGGAGCTGTCCCAGGTCACACAGCGAGGTGGCAGTAGGTCATCAGCTGCTTCATTGTTTCTGCCCTTGACCTCTGCAGTGGGACCGCAGCCCTCTCTTCTCCTCGATCTGGAGCCACCTCTGTGCGTGTGAGCCCTTCTACTAGCTCCCTGAGAGCAGGGACAGAGGAGACCTCGCTCTCTCCTGCGTCATTCTGGGTAGTAAAGGTGGATATGTAATCTCTGATGAGGTCAGGGGAGGTTGGCCAGGGCCAGCGCAAAGGCCCCAGGCGCATGTGGTTTCCCCTCCCCCACCCCGGCAGCCCTCTGCGTAGCTGCAGCCCTTCCCTCGCATTAGGCAGAGAGGCATATAACAGATGGGTCCTAAAATGGATTTAATTAGCTCTTTATATCCAGTGGCGAGAGTAGGGACTTCTGCTAAAAGAATTGTCAAAGAGAAATTAGACCTTATGCAAAACGAGGATCTGCTTGCTTGTTGACATGAGCCTTTTTAGTAGCTTTCTCTTTTCAATTCTTGGAGAGCGGAAAAGCATTAGGAAAAGCCTGGTTTTCAGTTTTCTAAACCTTCATCTGTTACCCTGTATTGCTGAATTCGTTAGGGTAGTGTCCAGGGAGAGTCCGTCTGCAACTGGGTTAAGAAGCAGCAGCTGATGTGGCCGTAATAGTAGGAAGTAAATATTCACGAATGATTTGCTTGCTTTTTACCCTACATTTTCATTGTTGGATGGCTTTGCTCAGGGTTCTCATACAACAGCGTGGCTCAAAAATTTGGAAACAAGTAATATTATTTTACCATGTGTTCTCCATAGCAACAGAACCAATAGAATGAGGCAAGGGGGCAGAGAGGGAGATTGATGTATTTCAAGGAACTAAAATAAATGTGATTGAGAGGGCTGCTGAGACTGGAATCTGCAGGCAGGCTGGGGGCCCAGGGAATGCTCAGCGTTCCCGCTTGAGTCTGCAGACCGGGTGGAGGCAGAATTGCCTCTTCCCCAGGGGACCTCAGTCTGTTTCTCAGAGGCCTTCAGTGATTGGACGAGACCTACACACATCATAGAGCTTGATGAGCTTCCTTCAAAGTCTACCGATTTAAGTGTTAACCTCATTTCAAGAAACGTGTTCACAACACCACCTAGACTGGCGTTTGACTAGGTGTCAGGTACTGCAGCCTAGCTAAGTTGATACAAAAATCTGATCATCATACGATATATTATAGTAGATCATCAAAAGAATCATGTATCATGTAGTTGCCTGTTTCCAGACTTAATGGCTACATGGCATAGTAGCACATGGGATATAAACCTCTCATTTCATTTTCCCCATATTAGGAAAGACTTGAGATTCATTTCCTCATCTTCACAATGGTTCATAAGAGTAAAAGTTCTCTAACCCACAGAAACACTCATGTGTTGTCTTCTAAGGGCTGTTAAGGGTCTAGGTTTACATTTAGGTCTGTGACTTATTTTGAGCTCATTTTTTTGTCTATGGTGCAGTTGAAGTTTCCTTTTTTTTTTTTTTTTTGGTATGCTCTGACAGCGTTTGTTAAAAATAATGCCTTTTCCTCACTGTTTTGCCTTTGTACTTCTGTGGAAAATTAGTTGTCCACACATGTGGGTCTATTTCTGGTTATTCCCTCTACTCCATTGATCTGTCTATTTCGGCACCGTCGTCTTTGGGTTACTACAGTTTTACAGGGAGTCTTAATACCAGGTGGTATTAGTTTCGCTTTTTTTTTTTTCCAAAATTGTTTAACTGTGCTAGTGGTCTTGCATTTTTTGATCTGTTCCACAGTGAAATTTATTGAACTCACAGGAGACATTCCTTTATGAAAAATTGAAAAAAAAACACTAAACTTATACAAGTGTGCATGGTAAGACAAACCAGTGACGACAGCCACTAGGACCAAACTGGACTACAGACAACCAGTTCATCCCACTGCCCACATGAAAGGTGTTTTTGTTATTGTGTTTTTGGTGCGTGGTTTTTTTTTTATTACCAGTTTCTATTTGAAAAACTCCCTGCTGTGATTTGTATCGCATTGAACTATAGATCAGTTTGAGAAGAATTCACTTCTTAACATTATTGAGTTTTCCAAGCCCTGATCTGAAGGTATGTCTTCATTTCCTGGCAATCTTTTTGTAGTTTTCAGTGTGGAGATCTTGGACATCTTTTCTAAGATTTACCCGTAAGTGCTTCATAACTTTCATATGATTGCATATGATATTTAATAGATTTTCAATTTCCCCTTGATTGTTGGGACCATATAGAAGTCCACATGTTTCTTTATACATTGATCTCATTTCCTCCAAACTTGCTAATAAGCTCACTTATTAATTCCAGTGGGGGTTTTGTAGAATCTATTGGACTTTCTATGTACACCATCATGTCGTCTGGAAACAAAGACAGTTTTACTTCTTCCTTTGAAATCTGGTTGCCTTTTATTTCTTTTTCTTGCCTTATTGCACTGACAAGAACTCCAGTGCAATGCTAAATAGCCTAGGTGGTAAGAACAGATATGTTTGTCTTGCTGAACTTATGGGGAAAACAGTCTTTCAGCATTAAATACAATATTAACTATTGCATTTCCTAAATACCTCTTATCAAATGAGTAGACGCCCTGCTATTTCTAGTTTGCTGAGATGTTTTCTAAAGATTAGGAATGGTGGTTAAATTTCATTAGACTCTTTTTATTCATCTATTGAGATGATTATGTGGGATTTTTTTTAGATTTTAATATGATGAATTACATTGATTTTCTGTTGGTAATACAGTCCTGATTACTAAGATAACTTCATTTGGTCATAGTGACTTTATACATTGTTGAATTTATTTTGCTAAAAATTTGTCCAAACTATATTCATAGGCAATACTGGTTTGGGTTTCTTTTCTTATAATGTTGACAAAAGGACCCAGACAAAGAATACTTCATGCTGTTGAAAAACACAAAACTGGCGGATGATGTTAGAATTTCGTGTGGCGGGTCCTTTGAAGTATGGGTTTTGCCTGATGGAGGGGCCCAGAGTGACCTTCTGGGCTTCCATTTCTTGAGCTAGGTGGAGAAATTGGAGGAAGGAAATCAGCTGACTTCCAGGTCAGATAATGTATCCTCTGTAAAATCTCCCCCAGTTCCCCGGGCAGGGTCAGTCCCTCTGTCTCCTCTGACCCAACATTAGAACAATTATATCATAATTGTTGCATTTGCCAAGAAAAGGGGGTCATCTTGTTGTGAATGCTGCTTTCATTTTCTTGTTTAAGTATCTTGGTGGACTGGCATATGGCAGGTACCCTGGAAACATTTTCCAGTGGAAGGAAGGAGTGAATGGAGGAACTTCCTAGTGAGCAAATGAGCCGAGGGCTTCTTTTCAGTGCTGTGTCCCCTCTCCTTATTGCCTGTCCCTCGCTGAGCTTACAGATTATACCTTGATATGTCCAGAAGACCGAGGCGGGCTGGCACCTGCTTGCCATTAGCGAAGAACACTTCCAGGTAACCTGGTCGTCTCAGTCAGGAGGTAGAATGAGATCAGGCTCCTGAGTCTGGGTAACCCTGGAGCTGAAGGAACAAGGACTTCTCTGCCTCCTGGTTCCGAGTGGCTGCAGGGAAGAGGGTGTGACTTGGCTTATTCAGTTGCGTTGCCAAGAATATTTTCACCACAAGTTTATGCAAGGATCGCATAAAGTTATCTTCCACCATTAAAAATCTGTTTGCTTTGTAGGGTATTTTCCACACAAAAACTCTATTAAACCAAGGTACTATAACTTAACAGAGTGTTCTTTTTTCCTTTTAATTTTGACAACTTCAATAAACATAAATTTGGAGAGGGTCATAAAATGAGGATGAATAGAGCTTACAAAACAAACGTGTAGGTCCTGTGAAGGAAAGTACTTCCAATGCATCCTTACTGGAAGTAACTGGACCTCGGCGACGATTTTAGCCGAATTCCCACTGATGAATTTCGATTTCTGTGCCAGGTTTTATTCAGGCACGCGGGAAAGCATCTGTTCGCTTTGAAAAGAATCCTGGCAATTCAGCAGTGCCTTACAATTTTAAATGTATATTTTGATTAGCACATTTTTATTGGCACCTCCAGTCTTTCCCTTTTCGCTAATACGACTGTGAATGTGTGTCTTTCTGCAGCTGCGGCGCTCCCGTCCAAGTTTCCGAGGTGAAGCTGCTTTCCTTCTCATCGGGCCAGCTCACCGTCTTCCTCCCCGCCGAGGTGAAGGCCATCGGCACGGAGAATGACCACATCCTGCCTCTGCAAGAGCTGGCCATGAGGAGTCTGCATCGCACCTGCCACCGTTTTCTGAAAGGTACACGGGCTCCTCCCTTTGTCCTGCTCTTATGCAGTGAGCCTAGAAATTGGCTTTTATGCTGCCTCTTTTGTTGTCTTTTTGTGTGTGTGTGTGGTGAAATATACAGAACATGAAATTTACCATTAAATCCATGTAAGTGTTCGGTTCAGTGGCATTAAGAACATTCACTCTGTTGTCCAATGGGACCTCGATGTTTTACTACTGTATCAACACTTCCCTCCAGAGACGGAGGCACAGTCACTAAAACACAGTCTTCAGTCACAAAGGGCAGAGGTTAACAGTTAAACTAAACCTTGTGGCTTAAGTAAAAGAAACTGGTTTAGGGGATTTATATTGGGTGGATCTAAGGGGCCTGCAAGGGGCACTTTCTTCAGAAGGAAAAAATTCTCAAAGGTCTTATTCTTAAAGCAAACCTAGGTGCCTCTTCCAGCAAAGGCAGGTCTTTGCCGCACAGCCTCCTCGTATCTGAGAGATTTCTGTATCCAAAGAAGAAACTCTAGTAAACAGTCCTCAGTGCGGCCCCCAGAACTACCACGACATGCTGACCCGTGGTTGGGAGAGGACTGGGCAGGTGTCGATTTCATGGGTATCGTGGTAAGGACACCATCGATGCTTTAAGAGAGGCAATATGAATAAGGAAAACACATTTTGAGTATTTTTAGAACTGCTTCATGTTTTCTTTGCTTTTAAAGAAAAAAGTCCATAAAAAAAAAAATCTAACATTCACCTTCCAGAAAGGTCTAGTACAAAGGGACGTCATTTTTCTTAAACTAAAAAAAAAAAGCACTTATTCACCGATGAGTAAATTTTCTTTTTCTAAGTAGTCATTAACTCTGGACAGATATAGAAAAGATGAGAAGACAATTGGCATTTTCCTCCCAAAGATGAGTCCACAATGTGTAGGTTAGCCTCCTCATGACCATTTCAGTGGCTACTGGACATTCACCGTCAGTAGCAACTCAGGTACCTCCGTGCTCAGCCTGGCCTGGACCTCGGGCGTGTTTTCCTGCAGATATTCCTCCTGTGCAGCTCGGACCAAGCTGAGAGGAACCCCCCCCCCCCCGCCCGTGTCGATTAGTGACAGCTCACGGGCCTGAGATGAGGAGAAGCTTAGTTGCCTCATTTTCCATTTCTGTTCTTCTCAGTGAATACAACTGAGCTTGACTGATTCTAAATGCTCAATAGATTGAGGAGGAACTTAGTGCAAGTCTGTTTGAACCTTCAGTTGAGTCCTGTTTTGATTCTCTGTCTCCGACAGATGTTTACAAACCTTCTCTGGTAAGATCATGCCTTTTTGATCTTCGTTCTTAAAGAATATCTGGGCTCACATTCTTTCCTGGCCTCTACCTCCGAACAGCTTCTGGTTGCTCTTCAAAGAGTAGATTTAGGTTTTCTCTTAGTGTCAAAAGCATAAAAGCATCTTTCATTTCTAAATAATGGTAGCTTTTTATTCCATGCCTTGCAGATAGTGGAATTTTCAACATGCAGTACTCATAACTAACTGAACTGACTTGGCAACAGGGGAATATTTTAAGAAGCCCAGTATAGGGTATCTGATTTTTTTTTAACTCGTGCATGATTTACTCTTGTGTTCCAGATCTGAACTTTCCGTCTCCCATCTCGTTACCCAGAAGCCTCCTGGAGCTGCTGCAGTGCCCCCTGGGACACTGTCACCGCTGCAGTGAGCCCATGTTTACAATCGTCTACCCCAAGCTCTTCCCCTTGAGAGAGACACCGATGGCCGGGCTGCACCAGGGGTAATCACGCCTAAGAGGGCGCCAGGGCTGCACCTGGGCACGGGGTGGGGGGCGGGGCGGGGCGGGGCGGGGGGAGGACAGGCAGAACGGTGTTGTGAAGTCAGCGGCTGCACTGGGGCGTCAATGCTTCCCGAGACACAGCTAAATGAGGCGTGCACATGTCTAGCATCACAAGGAAATGGGCCTCCCCTTTATGGCCTTTTTGGCCATGTACAGACCGCTTTCAGTGCATAGATGACGTAGAGCAGCTCGCTCTTCACAGGGGCGCTTTCCTGCGGTTCCCCAGTTCCCCGTAGTCTTCAGGCAGTAAGGAAGATAAGAACCAAATATTTACCGTATAATGGGGCTGGCCCAGCCCTTCTATTTAATTGGTGCTTTTAACTGAAAGTGTGTGGCCGAACTCTGTGTGTGTGTGTGTGTGTGTGTGTGTGTGTGTGTGCGCGTGCGCTTTGAATTTCTAACCCTTTCAAATGGCATTTTCTTGCCACTCTCTGTTTCTTGGCGCAATGCCTTGCATTTGCTAAAAATGTTCACTAAGTGAAAAAACTCCATACTGGCAGTTTAAAAAAGAATAGCAGACGATTAAAAATAGGACATCAAATGAAAAATCCCCCATTAGCACAGCCGTAGCATATAGATTTTCTAAATTTAAGATTCTCTAAGTTTGCATTTTTCAAAGTTAAAAAAAAAAAAGAGAGTACTGTAATACCTCGCTTATCCATCCAGTGTGGTATTTTGGGTGAGTAAATTTTCCAGACAACTTGTTACCTCTGTTCAGTGCCTAGAGGTGTTCCCTTTATAATCGTTTTTATAGTATGGGAGCGAGCATGGCTAGGGTACTGAGCCTCTCGGAGCCTCCAAGTGGGAACAGAGCAGCCCGCCAGGCGGGGCCATCAGGGCAGACTTAGCAGGGGCACCCTGGGACTTAGCAGATGAGGAAGGCAAACACCTGGCGCATTACTAGGTGTGCACCGATGACAGTTACTGATTCCCTCTCTTTACCCACTCCCACCTCAAGCTGCATGTCTCTTTTTCTCACCCTGAATGACCCTATTGTTTCTGCTATGCTTTCAGTTCGTTTCCACTTTCTATAGTCTGAATGTGTCCTGGTTTACTGCGCCTGCCCATAGAAGCCCTCCTCCAATGCTCTCCAATTTGCTCCTTCCAATCCCAGAGGGTTAGATCGCCGGAGTTAGTGGAATTCCATGTAAATCAGAGCTCAGAGGACTGGGTCAGGGTCCGAGTGTGTTAGAACATGAATAAAATATGGAGGAGACACGTCTCCGAGAAGCAGCCGTGCTTACTGGTCAAGGGCATAGGTCCTGACAATGACCCTCAGCTGAGAGACCTTGGGCAAATTGCTTAGCCTCTCTGAGCTGTGCCTTTTCATCAGTTAAAAGAGCATAATGATGATATCTATGTAATATGGCCATTGTGAGGATTAAGTGAGATGATCCGTGTAAAAAGCCCAGGGTGGTGCCTGGTATGTAATAATGACTGAGTAAATGTTAACTGTTGTCTGTTTTTGTAGCTCAGAGACTTTTAAAATTAAATTTTGGGTGGTGTTTTGGGGTAATAATATTACATAAGCTTCAAATCTACAATTCTATAATCTACCACCTGCATATTGCATTGTGCACTCACCACCCAAAATCTAGTCTCAGGCTTTGAAATTTGTGTGTATATTTTAGCAAATATTAGTATTAGTAGTAGTATCTTTATATTAATAAGCTATCACCATAGGAAAATTAACTAATTTATTAAACTATAGTAAAATCCTAATGTGTTGTTGTTATTGCATAATTTCCTATAGAAGATATTTTCTTTTCAACATTTTCTTATTGTTGTTAGAAGATATTTTCTTAATGAAAATATGAAAATGAAAACATTTCAGTATGGTCAGGATGCACTCTTAGTAGCTGATAAAATTACAAATACTTATTTAAAAATATAAGCTTTCTTTTTATCATGGTAATTAATTTCTGAAGGTGAAGTAGGTTCTTTAAATGGAAGTCATTTTTGTGTTATCTTCATATGAAATTTGGGGAACTTACTTGGCATTTGCATATTCCATTTACTGCTGCTCACTTCTAATTACTAGAAATTCGGTGTGGACGATCTTCTCTTGCTTCAGAACATCAGCACACCAGTGTCAGTTTAGTAAGATACGTGGATCAAGTGCCCAGGTCTCAGACAATGCCCTTGTGTTGAGTGAAGCCAGACGCTCTGTGTTTGCAGCAGAGAGAACGTGCCAAGATATAAACATGGCTTTCTGTGGCAAGTGAACGCCGGGGACTGAAAATGGGAGTCTCTGGCTTCCGCTTGCTCCACCAGACTCTGCTCCTTCCCGTGTTGCTATGGAAACTGTATTAAAACCATTGACTTCAGTTTCTACCATAGTTTTTAAAGTACTTTTTTGGCAACTGAAAACCAAATACTTGAATTTCGGTAGCTTATTGCTGAAAGTAAAATCAATATTTTTAATGTCATAAGCTCTAAAAGGCATTAGTAATCTTATTTTTTAAAGATTGTATTTATTTGCTTTTAGAGAGAGAGGGGAAGGAGAAAGAGGGGGAGAGAAACATCAATGTGTGGATGCCTCTTGAGCACCCCCTACTGGGGACCGGGCCCACAACCCAGGCATGTGCCCTGAGTGGGCCTCAAACCAGCGACCCTTTGCTTCCCAGTCTGGCACTCAATCCACTGAGCCACATCAGCCAGGGCTGGTAATCTTATTTTTTAAGTTTTCTAATATATTTAGTTCCGTTTGCATCGCTCATCATAAAATAATATATTATATATCAGCCAATCTCTAAATTAATGTGGACATCTGGTATTATTTTAAAGGAACATATTGAATGTTTTTCTACAATACCAAATCCCATGCAATTGTTACTTCCACCCAAAATCGAATACGGAGTGAAGTAAAATTACTGTATTTCTACATAAATAATAAAGACCCAAACCTTCAAATAACTATGGCAGAGAAGAATGGTTGGTATATATTATACTGATAACTTTTGATCCTTGTAGGGACTGCAGATTTTCATTCCCAAATCTTATTGTTCATTTGTTAAAATGAAGAACATCAATTTAGAGGATTATCTATAAGCATGACATATTTGTGGCTTTCCCTGTGCGTGTATGATTCTCACAAGTTCTGTATTTCCCAACAGGAAATGGGCTACCAGCGGGTTTTCAAGGGTATCGTATTAGTTGGCTGGGGTGACTTGAACAACTGTTGTCTCACAGCTCCGAAAGCTGGAAGTGTGGAATCCAAATGTTGGCAGGACAGGCTCCTTCTGCGGGCTGTGAGGGAGGGGTGCGTCCGGCAGACGGCCGTCTTCTCCCTTCATCTGCTCGCATCACCTCCCCCTGTATGCCCGTCTCTGTCGGAATTTCCCCTTGCTATTAGGACCCCGTGCTAGTGCACTTAGGGCCTGCTCTGATGATCTCATCCTGACTTAAGTAACTGCACTCGTAATGACCCTGTTTCCAAGGAAGGTCACTGTGTTACTCTTCTCAGGCATCATAACAACCTACTGTGGACTGGGCGGCTTGAACAACAGACGTGGGTTTTCCCACAGCTCTGAAGCCTAGAAGGCCAAAGGCAGGGCACACACGGTCAGGCTGTGGGGATAGCCCTCTTCCTAGTGTGAAGAAGGCCACTCGCTTGCGAGCACATGTTTGCACAAGCTCCCTGGTGCCTCTCGCACAAGGGCACCAGTCCCATCAGGAGGGCCCCACCGTTAGGACGTCATCTAAGCCCCGTTATGTCCCAAAGGCTCATCTTCAGATGCCATTGCACTGGAGGTTAGGGCTTAAACATACACACGGGGGGAGGTGGGTCACAGTGCCAGTCCATGGCTGTCACATTCTGAGGTATTGGGCAGTTGGGACTGCAACATAGGCACTGACTGGGTGGGTGTGGGGGGAATACAATTCAAGCCATAATAGGTCTCCAAAATGTCATGTCCTTTTCCCATGCAAAATAAACTCACCCCATCCAGACACCTCCAAAGTCCTGACTCGCCCCCAGCATCAACTCCTAAATTCAAAATCTCATCTTAAATATCTACATCAATATGAGTAAAACCTGGGTACGGCTCTTTAGGGGGCAGAACTCCGTTCTAGCTGTGAGCCTGTAAAACCAGTCATCTGTTTCCGGTGTCTCACAGGGGGACAGGCATCTTCTTCTCCCATCCCATAAGCTGCCTTTTCCTCCTCTTGGTTGCTTCCTTTGCTGTGCGGCCGCCTTCTAGTTCAATGAAGTCCCACTGCTTGTGCTTTCCATGTCATATCCAAGAAATCATTGCTAAGTCCAATGTCAAGAAGTTTTCTCCCACGTTTTCTTCTAGGAGTTTTATAGTTTCAGGTCTTATGTTTAAGTCTTTCATGTCTTTGGAGTTGATTTTTTGTGTATGGTGTAGGATAAGGGTCCAGCTACATTCTTTGCAAGTGGATACCCAGTTTTCCCCACAGCATTTGTTGAGGAGACTGTCCTTTTTCTGTTGTGTATTCTTGGCCTCCTTGTGGAAGATCAGTTGACTCTGTGCATGGTTGGGGGCGTATTTCTAGGCTCCGTAATCTGCCTTTATGCCAGTACCATACTGTTTTGTTTACTGTAGCTTTGTAATATATTTTTAAATTTTTTAAAAGCTATTCTTCAACAGATTTAAATAAATTGTTCTTCACTGTGCCTTCCTCATTTGACAGTTATGTATTGACCACCTGCCATGTGCCAAACTCTGCACTATGCACTGGGGGTTAAGCTATAACCAAACTACTTCTTTTACCATACATGTCTCACTCCTACATTTCTAGGACAGGAACCGATCCAGTAGAGAAGCAAACATGTATTATTTAAGGGTCTGGTTCTGCACACAGAATCTTCCCACGAGAAACAGTTAACATAAATGTAACAAGCAGATACAATACGCTAGTAGATGAGTCTACCATAAATTAAGCCTGTACCCAGGCTTGGGGTTTTATCTGATCAGCTCTGTCTAATAAGTGTTATTTTTCTTTTGGCTTGAATTTCTGTATGAGTCAAAGATATGCTTTTTGTTTCTAATCAGGAAACACATTTGCAAAGAAAATATCACATTTCTTATGATTTTTGTGGGCTCCAATATCTGCCAACAACATTGTGATTTTTTTTTAGAATAGTGGTATTTTTGTATTTTAAAAGTAAGCTGAAATGCTCTTTCTTCTGCCTTGCCTATAAATATGCTCAAATTCCGAAGCAACAAATGTCATGTCTGATGTTCTTTGTGGAATGTATGAGCATCTCTCTCCTAACCGTACAGTTGATTGCTTAGCTCAAAGCTTCTCCCCCTAAAACTATCATGTCTCTTGTGCCACAGTCCTGGCATTTTTAAGGAACTGTCCAACATAAGACTTGTTGGTATACTTGTGACAACTTAGTTATTAATGCAACAGACAGAATATGTCATTAGATGAGTCTCTAATGCAACAGGCGGAATATGTCATTAGATGTCATTAGAATGCAGCTGCACCTTTATCCTACACCATACACAAAAGTAAATAGTACACAGACTTGGTATTTCTTTGCAGCTGAACTAGGACACGTGCAGGCTACCCACCCACCCCCTTGAGTACACACCGCAAGGAGTCAGTGATGACCCAGTGAGCACTGTGCTTCGGGGAATAAAACCCCACATCTCTATAGAGTGGGCTTCTTGTGCTTAGAACTTTTATTGTTAAAAATTCGAACATTGTGGTTTGAAATGTGTTACTTCTATGAGTGATTTTGCTTAACATAATTATCTTTTAAAAAAAAGTAAGGATTAGTTAGCTGATCCTCAAAAAAATGCAATTGCTGCCCTGGCTGGTATGGCTTAGTGGATTGAGCGTGGGCCTGCAAACCAAAGGGTTGCTGGTTCAATTCCTAGTCGGTGCACATGCCTGGGTTGCAGGCCAGGTCTCCAGTGGGGGACCCATGAGAGGCAACCACACATTGATGTTCCTCTCCATTTTTTTCTCCTTCCCTTCCCCTCTGTCTAAAAATAAATAAAATCTTTGAAAAAATGCACTTGCCATTTAAGATCATTTTGTGTCAGTTTTCTTTCCATTGTGATTGATACAAATATATACATTCTGGTGCAGCAAATTCTCTGAACTCCAGTTCTAACCAAAAAAAAAGTTTTTAAAATTAAGGTAACACAAAGTATTTAATAACAATCTATATAATTCCCTGAGTTAAGAAAATCTCAAAAAGGAGCGTGCCTTTTCCTTTTTCTTACAAGTGCAATTTGCAAAGCAGATGGTTTTAATTTTGATCAAGCCAAATTTTCCACTTTAGTTTTTTTTTTTAAGTCTTTTATTTTATTTTATTTTATTTATTTATCTTCAGAGGGGAAGGGAAGGAGAGAGGGAGAGAAACATCAATGTGTGGTTGCCTTTCGTGCGTCCCCTGCGGGGAATTGGCCTGCGGGGACCTGGTCTGCAACCCAGGCATGTGCCCTGACTGGGAATCGAACCGCGATTGTCTGGTTCGCAGGCCCGCGCTCAATCCACTGAGCTACACCAGCCAGGGTGCTCCACTTTAGTTTTATAGACAGTGCTTTGTTGGGTCCTGAGCAGTCTTTACCTGCCCCAGTGTCCTGAAAACGTCCTCAGTGCTCTGCCTTCCATTCCACTGACCTGTGTCTGCCTCTCAGTCAGCACCAAACACTCCTGACTACTGTAATTGTACCTCTCTTTCTGGATCCTCTTAACTATTCTAGGTCCTCTGCTCTTCCACGTAATTTTTAGAATAAGCTTATCTTTGTCTCAAGAACTCTCGTGCTGGATTTTGATAAGAACTGCGTTAAATCTATAGATCAATTTAGAAAGAATGGACACATTTACTAGGTTGAGTCTTCCAGTGCATGAACACGTATGTCTCTCTATTTAGGCATTCTTTTATTTCTTTCATCAGCATTTAATCATTTTCAACAGACAGATCCTTAAATGTTAAGTTGATATCTTAGTATTTCACTTTCTTTGTGTGATTATAAATTATCTTGACTAGTTTCAAACTTCTATTTCCATGTGTGCATTGTCAGTATATGGAAACATGGCTGATTTAAAAACTTTGATCTTAAGTGCTTGCAACCTTGCTGAATTTGCTTAAGAGGCTTGGAGTAGTTTTGTAGATTCCTTGGCATTTTCGGTGCAGTGGTGTTATGTCATTTGAAAGCAGGGATGGTTTTATTTCTTCCTTTTCAATCCATCTGGATTTTATTCCTTTTTCTTGCTTTATTGCAGTGGTTAGAATTTCCAGTACTGTATTGACTAAGGTGTGAAAGTAGATGTTACTATAAAGTATGATGTTAGCAAGTTTTTTTATGGATTCTATTTATTAAATTGAAAAAGATCCCCTCCATGCCTAGTTTGCTGAGAGTTTTTAGCACGAATAGATACCGTGTTTTGTCAAATGCTTTTTCTGAATCCATGGATACCATACAAATTCTTCTTCATTAACCTGTCAGTACGGTAGATGACACTGATTTTCAAATATTGAGCCAGCCTCATGGACTCAGAATAATTCCCTGTTGGTTTCAGAATTTTTTGATGTGTTGGAACTTTTATTTTCATGCATTCATGTAAGATTTTGTCTTTTGAGACTGCCTCTTTACCCAATGGAAAAGTGGTCATTTGACCCCTGGGTTAGCAAAGGTCAGAACTGTGTTGTTTCATTTTCACACGTGGGGCTTTCCCTGTGGTCTTTCTGTTACTGAATTCTAGTCTGGGTTCATAATGGACACAGAATTTGCTCTATGATTTTCACTTGCTTTAGATGTAGATTCCTCTTATTCTCCAACTTCTTGGTGAAAACTAAGGCTACTGATTTTAGAGCATTGTTTTCTAATGCATGTGTTTAGTGCTAAAAATTTCCCTTTAGCACTGTTTTGCTGGGAAGAGGACTCTCAAACTCTGTTATTCAGATTCTGAGATGGCCTCTGCAAGCAATGTCAGTGAATACATTTGTAGGGTAAATTCCATACAATTATGGTTTTTAAGTCCTCTGGGTGTGTGTGTGTGTGTGTGTGTGTTAGCCAAATTGGTGTGGTTTTCTGTTGCGTGATTTTCAACATGCATTTGAAATTCTATCACTGCACCACTGGTCCTAGTAGGCAGAATTCAGACCGTAACATGAAGAAAGCTTGTTTTTCCTTCGCAGTTAACCAAGGGATATTACGTCATCTGAAAACGGCTAATAAAATGAGCACACACACACCTCACCTGCTGCTGGAGCTCAGTGCTGAAAGGGAATTTACATTCCTGCACCGTGCTTTGTTGACCTAATCCTTTATTTTAACAGAGAAAAAGACGGTCTGATGGAAGGAATCCCGAGACTTTCATGGTGAACTCACAGCACTCTTCTCTCCCCTCTTCCCCCCTCTTCCAGGAGGACAACGGTGAGTTTCGTGGCTTACTGCTGCTCCACCCGGTGTCTGCACACTTTCGACCTACTGAGTTGATAGACGCTCAGGCCTCAGGAGTGCCGCCAACTTGCTTCCATGTGACACGCTGTTTGCGCAGCAGAGGGACCGGAGAGCCTGGCCAGGCCAAACAGGCCCTCGAGTCCTGTCCTGTCAAATGCCGGGGACGCAGAACTGCCTGGAGGTGTCCAGACTGAGCTTCAGAGCCTAAACGCCTTCATCCTCCCCCCAACTTGGAATACATCCTCCCCCCAATTAAGGACCCTTTGTCTTGTGTGTTTTTCTTTGTTATGCAAGTGTCTCCTACGCACACTGTTCAGTCCGAAGGGCCTCCCAAATCTAATTGAAAGCAAGTTTCAGTTCCCTGAAGAACCGTAATTTGTTAACATTGGCAAGTTAACTTTTGAACACATATAACTCAAGGATACTTCTAATTTTCTCTCTCTTCCCCTAGAGGATCATTTCACCCCGAGGTTATTCTGCATGTTCACAACACATTGAAGCAAACCCTGCGGCCTCAATAGTATTGAATAGCAGGGGTGGGGAGTGGTTCCTGAGTTGGCAGAGAAGTTAGACTCCCGTGGGGGTTCCGAGGGGTCCCAGCGTGCACCCTCTGGAAAGTTACAACCTTGTTTTTAAGTTTTGCAACACATTAAGAGGCTTTTGTGAGGGATTTTAAAAATAAAGATGTAGGCTATAAATAAGACACACTCCTGTTTTGAAAGACTGTACTGAAAAATAATTTGACACATCTGATTCCCCGATAAGATTTGTTTATTTGAGAAGAGTTTGAGGAATATTTGAGGCTTTAAAAGATCTGCTCCTTTTCTTTCTGGACCCAAACATTTTTCTGGCAAAGGAAAAAGGAGGAGGCAAATACATCAAAATATGGCCTAGAGTGTTTCTTGTCAGTTGGGTTTCTGATGAAATTTACAGTGACTGAAATATTTTTGTGACACGTGAAAAACAGCCTCCGGCTGCTTCTGCTGCTGGCTGGGAGCAGGGCGATTCTGAGCACAGCTCGTGCGCATTTACCGAAATACCTGGTGCGTTAGGTTATCTTCACTGCTCCCCTAGATTTCATATGTACTTAGCACACCGTCGTCCGGATACCACCGAGGAGGTACAGGATGAGCAGGTCCAAGTTCAGCCTCGAACCTGGGCAGAAAGGTCATAAACCAAAAGTCTGAGGTTACACCCCGACCGAAGAAATGGTCTTAACGGGGTAGCCGCTTACTGGCTCCTCCTGTGACAGGGTGGCCCTTTAATGTGGCTTTGCTGCCACATGTTCCTCCGATGGCTGTCGGGGGTTCTTTTAACTTTTTACCTGTTTTAATCAGACAAGTGTTTTCTCGAAGGCAGGACAGGAAGGGGGAACCAAGGAGGTTTATTGGGTAGGGAAGTTATTTCCAAAAAAATAGACTTGTCTCGAATTTGGCTTATGGGGTTTTGTTGGCTGCCCTGCATCGGCAATGCCGGGCTCTAACAGGGCTAAAAACCCTTCCTAGTTGCTGACCACTGTGTGATCTTTTCACAGCCCCCACCACCTGCTGCCCAGAAAGCAGGCTGTCCACGCAGAGCGGCGAGGGCAGAGCGTTAGGTATGTCCAGCTGCATCTCCACTGTTCTAACTTCCGCCGTCCCTTTCATAGCTTGGCCCCTTGAGCCTTCAAAGGCTTGCGGTTCAATGGAAGCTGAAGGTCTGCATGAGAATATAACAGTCCTTTCATCCTTTGGAGTCATTGAAGTTTGAGCGTAACCCTCTCCGTATCTCTACGTTGGCAGGTGGAAAGTGTGGCATGAGCCTTCCCAAGGGCGATTCAGGCACAAGTGGCTGCTGCCTGTCGTGTGAATGATGGTAAATCCATTGCAGCATCTATTTCACACTCTGCAGTCGTGCCTCCCGGTGAAACGTGCTAACCTGACATTCAGGAATCTTGTCTATATAAGGATATGACCATTGTTTTAATCCTCACCTGAGGGCATGTTTTCATTGCTTTTAGAGAGAGAGAGAGAGAGGCAAGGCGAGAAAGAGAGAGACATCGATTGGTTGCCTCCCCTACGTGACCCAACCAGACATCGAACTCATGACATAGGTATGCGCCCTGACTGGGAATTGAACCTTCGACCTTTCGGGATACAGGCTAATGCTCCAGTCAACTGAGCTATACTGGCCAGGGCAGCTTTATAAGACACAATCCCAGCATCCTCCCCGTACCTATTCTAGACAATGAGCATTAAACACCAGCAGTGGGCCACCTTTGGCAGCCTGAACCTTAACCATCCGTGCAGCACCTGGCTTAATCAATGAGAAAGGCAATTTATAATTGGGCTCCCCTGGTGCTGTTCATTATAAAAATTTTGTACTGGATTCACTGAAGTCATTCTTAACCTTTTGCTACTACTGTATTGGAGTAATGGAGACTGGAGAAAATTTGCCTACATACTATGTATTTGAATTATGTGCAGAACTTAGCAGAAAATTCTCAAGTTATCATGTTGTCTTTTTTTTTTGATTAACAGTTATGCTACCTAGAGAAATATTTCATGCAGTTATAGTAATGCCAAAAAGTGAGTTACTTGGAACATATAGTCTCTTCAAGTAAGTTTACATGAATAATCTCAGATGTGGTTACTGGGACATTTTAATATGCAGAATAGCCTTTTAGGGAGGGGCCTTCTTATGGTACAGTGTCAAGGGCGATCTGTTTTAAGCGGACTGCCCTGTCGATGGTATTCGAAATGCCAAATTGTTATCACGCCCAAACCCCAGATGGCATAACATTGTGCGGATGAAAGGTTGCATCTTCAATGAATAAAAGATATATTTTGAGCACACGGGAACTGTTTCTAAGTGATCGATACACCGAGGAGCTCTGGCTGGGGGAGGACCCAGTCTGGAGTCGAGGGATGAGCGCCCAGGAGCCCGGCCTGCCTCTTCTGAAAGGGGAGGTGCACTTTCACCATTCCTGGTCCCCAGACTCAACACCACTGCACATCCTCACACTCACTACTGTAGGGCACGTCTCGCTCTTCCTCCACATTCTGTGTTGTGAATGAAAACGTCTGCAGTCTCAGAAAAAGGCTTTGCCACCGATTGGCTTCTGAGGTTTGGAACACAGTTTTCCCTAAACTATGTGTTGGAATACCTGTGTTGGAATCCCTGGAGACTTCCAAAGCTAGTTTGAAAATGATTAATAGTAAAACAAGGTTTCTGTTTCCCAAATGAAAATTTCAGACATTTTTGTCTTTATGAATGTTCCACACAATGCATTGCTTCAGATGTCAAAACATTTTAGTCAGCTAATTTATGAACATGAACTACTAATTGGGCCCAAACACTAATGCAACCTGATGTAATTAAATAGTAAGATGTAAATTCATTTCACATGCTTGTAAACATACTCTCTTTAGAACATTATTTTGAAATGTGTTCTTATGTCACTTTGGACATTTTGTTATGCTTTTATTATTGTTGTGGTTTCTACCAACTCTTGCCTACTCCTAATGAAGCTCTCCTACATTTCTCCAGGAATTTGGTGAATATCTTGTCTTCTTGTAAACAGGGTGAGGGGTGGGGGTTTATAGTCTGTATTCTTGGGCACAGCTCTGTGACTCTCAAAACATTTTTCAAGCCTCACGGTGTCTGCCCAGGAAGTCATCCCCTGTGCCACCAGCCAATAGACCTGAAGGGGTGTAAGTGTCCCTAGGAAGGGGATCAATCACAGCTTGGTGACTGTCATCCTGTGTCAGGAAAGGAGACTGCGGCACAGCCTTGGATGCTCTCTTTAGAGCACACCTCCACAGACCCTTGTCCTCCTGATCCAGGCAAGAATGGGCAGCCCAGCGTCATGGCTGGGGGACAGGAGACGCATTTGGAGATCATTTCCATATGCAGTTAAGAGGCTTGCAAAGTTGGCCGGGTTTGGTGATCCACTCACCTTATAGTGGAGTGTAGATTATCCTTGCTAATTGTGTGAATGACTGTCAGGCTTTGTTCTTCATAGCAATTTGGAGACTATAATAATCTAAGATTTCCTTCCTTCCTTCCTTCCTTCCTTCCTTCCTTCCTTCCTTCCTTCCTTCCTTCCTTCCTTCCCCTTCCCCTTCCCCTTTTTTCTCTTCCTCTTCCTCTCCTCCTTCTCCTTCTATACAAGGAAAGGATTTTCTAAAACCGAGTCTGCATACTGAAAACTGATGGCAATATTTATTCATTGAGTGTGGACATTTTCTAAAACTCACACTGTATCCAGTTGGGTTGCACTTATAGCTGCTGCTGCAGTTTATAAAACAGTTGAACTTGAACCATGTGAATGCTTAGAAATGTCAATGGTGGTAACTTCACTGTTTTAACAAGGTTCTTTTAGTTAAAAAATAGCGTGTTATTAAATACTTGATTCTAGCGAAAATGGTGGAGGAAGGACTTCTGAAAATTTTCCCCTTCACAAAAGCAAGGAGAAAATTGGCCAAAAATAAAATAAATAAATAAATGTCAGAATCAACTTCTTTCAGAACGCTGGAAATTAACCAAAGGCTGCAGCAATCCAAGGAATATTTACTCGAGAAAGAGCTGGACCTCAGAGCAGGGAGCTTTGTGGCATTTGACATGCCCAGTTTCCATCCCTCCCTCCCCTCACCAGCTCTGTGCCCTTGAAAACAGGAGACCACAACCAAGGGAGAAGCAGCAGCTGCGTAGAAGCCGCTGGGGGGGGTGATGGGGCCGGGGCTCTTTCAAGCCCTCATTCCCAGAGAATCCTCATTATTTGACTTGTCTAGTGGTTCCCTGGAAGACCTCACTTGCAAGGTTGTCTTTGTTTTGCCTCCTCAGAGCTTGCCAAATGTGAAAAGCCTTTTCACAGGGACATTGATCAAAAAAAAAAAAAAAAAATCAGAGGCACTAAGTAGCTGCCCGAAGCAGTGAATAACCATCAGAGCAAACAATTGGCTAACCAAAGAACATAAAAGGAAAAGCTGAGGCAGGAGATAGTTGCAGGGGTTTGTCAAGCTCCGACTTTCCTAGGAATTCAGATAAGCACGCGTGTGCCTGAGGCTTTTCACAGGCCAAGGGTTGTGTGCCTGATCAGGGAAGCATCAGCGCTCACCTCACATTGACCTTGAGGGTTTGCACAAGGGTAGGGCAGAGCAGTCAGCTTCCTGGCTGAGTGCTGAAGGGTGTTCCAACAAGCACGCAAAGCTCTCAGCAAAGACGGGAGGGTTCTTCATTTCAGGTGTTTAAGGAAACCCCTGTCCAAGTATTAAC